GAGTAAATCTGTACTTGTGATGAGTAGGTGAAAAAATTCCACGTAATATTTGGATATAGGAAAATAAAATAAATTACTCCGTAATAAAGAATGGATAGAGATAATAATGAGTTAAAGGTCCACAAAAGTCATGAATCCATAATTTTATAATTCCATAAGAATGGGTAAAACTTTGAATGCAAATAAGAAAATTAAAGTCTATGACGAATGCGCTTAAATTTTTAAAATTCATATACTTTAAAAATTTATCTCTAATTTCAAATACAATATCTTTCCCTTCAAAGATCTTTTAATCACTTATTTGTCCTAGAAAGAGGTTGGTTCTATTTTTTGGGCTTAAATACCAATAGTTCTTTTTATGTCATTTTTATATTACCTATACATCCATGGGTAATGGGGTGTTTCGTAAACGGTCTGCAAAATAGAAAGCCATTTTTTGCTTTCTAGTTGGTCAAATCTCACATAGCCAAATACATATTCATAGAATCTTGGTGCTTATTAAATGATCACTTAGATCATTTAGTTTGGCCTTTTATGTGAAATACCCAAATATGAAAAAGCCTCTTTGGATACGTGTATACCCGAAATGAATATCTTTAATAGAATTTCAATACATTATACAATATTATTGTATTCATGTGTATGTTAAACACAATACAAAGATAGTCTATGTTGTTTGCATTACAATTTTTGGGGGTTTTGGAAACTATTAGTTATATTATTATATGTGACTTATACTTGTGAGTGATTTTATATGATAGAGTATATAGACTCAGACCCCCGGGTCTCACGACTATTGGGCCCGGACAGCGGCCCACTCACACTTATCGGATGTCATTTATATCATTTGTATTATTGTAGAGTTCATATATCATTTGTATGTGCTAGATTAGTCTTTTATGTAGTTGGACCTATCGGGCCCATATTAGCGGTCCGGCCCATTATTTGTCTATTTATACTCCCTTTGGGAGACTTGTAACCATAGTTCTTAATTCATACTCCATACAAATATTCTACTATTCATCATCTTCTTCCTTCTCTTGAGCTCAATCTCTTCATTTAATTATATGTTTGGATCCCTATAATCCATCATTATATATTGATTTGAAAGCATGTTTTGAATACTAAAGAAACTTAAAAAAAAGAATACTAAAGAAACTAGTGTGATGTTTTTTAGTCCGGGCTTTAATTTAACCGATTCAATTTAAACTGGGTTACCGAAAATTTGACTTAGATCAAATTTAATAGGTATTTTTTTCAATTCCAGATTCTCATAATTCAAGATTAGTGTGCTGGTTTTTAGTTTAGGCTTTAATATAACCGGTTCAATTTAAAATCGGCTACCGAAAATTTGACTCAGATGATCAAATATAATAGGTATTTTTTCAATTCCAGATTCTCATAATTCAAGATTACATATCTTTAGGTATAAATGCTACTTGGTATTATACTTTCTAGTTTATTCTCTTAAAACATTATCATCTTTGATTTTTCAAATCAATGGTAGTGAAACTTGAACAATGATTTTTATTAGTACAATATAGTAGAAGTAATAATTTTATACTTTAATGCAAATATTCTTAACAAAGAAAATTCCTACATCATTTTATATTATACTCGTACATAGTAAATAATCTCCTTTATAAATATATAAATGATTAAAGTTTAACCTGACCAAAAAATCAAATATGGCAAAGTTTTAAGTGACACACGAGTATTAATTATAAATATAATCCAGTATATCAAATTAGACCAATGACCATTTTAATTATCTGTCGAAGTATGTTCTTCTTCTTTAACTTTGACCATCTCGTAAAAAGTAATTGTATCCATCACTAATATATATGAACTCGAGCTAATATTAGAAATTGTCCTCGACAATTGTGTTAATATCCAATTTAGTCCAAAGCTATAACATTTGTCAATTTTGATCCCCGGTTTTAACTTTCTTACCAAATTTTATTTCTCTAAATTTATCTGTATGTTTCACGTAATTTGGGAAAGTTTCCAGAATAGGAGTAAACAAACTTTGTAGTTGTAAAACAAGACCGGTATGTTTTTCTTTCTGAAATTTGAGAAATATGACATTATTTAGTGTCATCTTGGAATCATTATTGTCAATATAGTTGTAATATTAGCATCGACACGACAATACTAATGACAGTATTTTCAATAATCACAGTAACGACTCATATTTCGAAAAGAAAAACAGAACAATCAACAATACTTTAGACAACGGTCAACAAAATTCTTAAACAGTACCTTCACCCTTTAGTTGATTTCACACGGACAAGATGACTTATTACTTATATATACATACACTCATCGGGGCAATATTTAATGTTAAGGGGCGCAAAAAAAAATCACAAATGTAGGGCTCTGTCCATTTTTTCAAAAAATCATTAGAATGTTTTTACTTGGATTGTAATTTGCTGGTCTGATCTGGTCTAGTTTGTTTTGGTCTGATCTGGTCTGGTCTGTTTTGATCTGGTCTGGTCTGGTCTAGTCTGGTCTGGTCTGAAATTTTATTTTTATATTTTATTGCATAAAGATTTTATTTTTTATATATATTATAATCCACAAATAATTATATTTTATTCATTTATAATTACAAATAATAATAACAATAACAATAACAACAACAACAACAATAATAATAACAATAATAATACTAATAACAACAACAACAATAATAATAATAATTAGGGGTGTGCACTATCCGGTTTAAACCACAAAACCGGACCGAACCAGACCGGAAAAACTAGAACCGGATCGAACCAGAATGATATCCGATCCGGTTCGGTACGGTCCGGTCCGGTTTTGAACCGGTGCACACCCCTAATAATAATAATAATAATAATAATAATAATAATTAGGAGTGTGCACTATCCAGTTTAAACCGGAAAACCGGACTGAACCGGGCTGAAAAAACTAGAACCGGATCTAACCGGAATGATATCCGGTCCGGTTTGGTACGATCCGGTCCGGTTTTGAAGCGGTGCACACCCCTAATAATAATAATAATAATAATAATAATAATAATAATAATAATAATAATAATAATAATAAAATATGGTCTGGTCTGGTCTGTTTTAGCCTGATCTGGTCTGGGACGAATTACAATCCAAGTAAAAACAACCTAGTCATACAAGACATCTAAATATAGTGCGCTCTAAGTTTACATAATGAGAAAAATAACTTTAATTTAATAATTTAAATGGTCTAGAAAAAGAAGATCCGTACATTAAAGCTTATAAAAATGGCAAACCAAAGGAAAATCACTTGATCATAAAAAAATTTGTCCAAATATATAAAAATAAAGAGTGTAAAAGGTAGAGACACCCATCAATACTTTTTAAATGATGCATGTCTTATTTAACTATATGAATCTTATCAGAAAAGAATTAATAGTTTATGTGCACTAAATATTCTAATACACCAACAAATTTTTATACCTAAAAAGTTCCGACTCACATTCACCGCTGTTTGGGCTGGTTACTGGTGGAATTTATCAAGTCCAACATCTCTCGGTCCGAACATCGTCCGAACACCGCTGTTTGGGGTGGTTACTGGTGGAGTGTTTTTATGAAATTTTTATGGTATGTTCTTCATCAAGTCTAGTCTATCTACAAAAAATTTCAGCTGAAAACTCGATCAGGAAGTCCGTCAAATAAGTTTTGGAAGTTGACTGTGTTTTTCTATGTATAATTTTGCACAGTTAACTTCCAAAAATTATTTAACAGCATTCCCAATCTAATTTTGAGCTGAAATATTTTGTGGATAAACTAGACTTGATGAAGAACATACCATAAAAACTTCATCGAAAACTTCCACCGGTAACCGCCCCGAACGGCGGTGTTCGGACGGAGTTTGGACCAAAACCTGCTGGACAGGAGAATGACTCTCTCTCTCTCTCTCTCTCTCTCTATATATATATATATATATATATATATATATATATATACTCCCTCCGATTCTGAAAGATCTTTACACTTTCCATTTTTAGCAGTACCAGAAAGATCTTTACACTTTCTTATTTGCCTTATTTGACAAATAAATCTACACAAAAAAGTGTCAAACAATGCCAAACAGTGCCAAACAGTGTTTATTTCCTTAAAAACTGTGAAGTCAAAGTGTCAAAATCTTTTGGAACCGGAGGGAGTATATATATATATTGATGTCAAAACTAATGAGTAACATACATGACATATTAATGAACTATACTGTGGCTTGATTGCATCAATGTTTATTTTTAAATTACATATTTTAATTTTGAACCGAGTGACAACATAATTGAACATATACTCTCTATATTAGAAAGTGTTGTCCAAAACAATATAAAAATACTCCTACCGGAATAGTTTTTTTAAAACTCAGGGGCGTTTGGAACTGATTCTGCTTCTACGTACTTTACTTTTAAAAGCAAAAAATAAAACCAGAATCAATTTTTCAGAAGTTGATTTCTTTCAATTTCTAAAAAAACTGCTTCTAAGTATAATTCGGAGCACGTAAAAGTATTTATGCACTTTCATCCAATAACTCCCTGAAAGAAGCAGATTTACATCATTTATTTGAAGATCATCAGGATGATGTGAAAGATCTATTTAAAGATTATGGCTGAAAAAATAAGATTGTTTTGAAAGTATATTTAAAAAAAATCTGATATGAAATATCAAATCCTAGATTATTCAAGATTATTCTCGACTTTCAATATACACATTTAATGCAATCATAACTTTTAATCTGTAATGACTAAAATAGCCCATTGAGAATGGAAAAAACTCCAAAAATAATTGAGTAAATGGAGATCATTAGTGGGAAGTTAAAATTTTAGTTTGTTTGGATTAGCCCCTCAATTATTAATTTATTAGTTAATTAATGGCAAGCAGAAAACCGTTAGGATTCCGCTACTGGTTTCCTACATTCTAGGCGCCCACTTTCTGCACGTCTATATACAGAAATACGGAGTATATACTCCTCCAGCGCGCGAAAACGAGTATAATACTTTCAACTTCGGTTTTTTAGCTTCTCTCATCTTCCTCTACGCGAATTATTATTGGAGTAATATTATTTTCCAAAACCCTAGTCTCTACACGTATATATAAAGTATATACTTGCTACACAAGGATCCTTTCAAGTATTCTAGTGCGCGCCATAATGGAACCAGTTGTGAAAGAAGAAACAATGGAGGTTCACCCAGAGGAAGCCCCGATCATGCCGGAAATCACCAGTCACGCGATTTGCATAAGCACCGGTCGCGGCGATCTTCCATCCGAAAACCGGTCAAACGGGTTCAACGACGGCGACGACTCGGAAGACCAGGATGGACCACCGGATTCTCCTCTTCGGAAGAAGCGGAAATCCGTGGAATCCGCCTTGCCGTTGGGGTTCCTGGATCCCCTGCCGCCTGAAGAGCGCTCTCGTTTGAACTCCCAACTACTGGCATTACCGCCGTCCTCAACTCCCCAACTGATTCGTGCGGCTGATTCCGGGAACAAGCTATTGCCCATGCCTGCTAAGTCTATGGAGGTCGCTCCTTTTCCGCTGTCCCAGAGCTGCAGGCAGTTCTGGAAGGCAGGGGATTATGAGGGACCCGCTCCTGAAACTCCTCCCTCAGATTCCGGCGGTAAGTGCAGGGCTTAAGTGCGTAACTACGGTAAAAGAATTTTTTGGATGAAATTTTACACAATTTTTTGAAATTTGGGTGGGCCCGCCCCGACCTCCTCCCCTGGATAAGTGCTCTCAGATGTTAGATAATTCTCTGGTCCATTAATACGTACACATGTATGGATATATGTAATAATTGTATGTGTTTATAAGATGATTTTAGGAAGCAGCCAAACAGAATTGTTATCGTGCTTACCCAGTAATTAAATATTCGTAAAAAGCAGTTCAAAAGCAATCTAATACGGAGTATTGAATTACGAGTCATAATAATGGTTGAATACTTAATACAAAGTATTATTTTGTATTTGCATCACGGTTAAATTCTGGTAAGATTATTTATTCAAAAAAGCAAATTGTGTACTGCAGGTTTCATGGATCATGTCAGAGTTCATCCTAAGTTCTTACATTCGAATGCCACAAGTCATAAGTGGGCTTTGGGAGGTACTCAAGCAGTTATATGGGTTGTGTATATATATTTTGAGGAATTTGATCTCTTTAGTAAGTCTTTATGTTTCCTCATTAATTTTATAATTTTTATCCTCATCCAGCTTTTGCTGAGCTTTTGGACAATGCTTTAGATGAGGTATGCGATGTACCTTTTATTAAAACTAGTGCGACTTGCAGTGAACTATATTTCAGGTTTTGTTTTGTTCTACACTATGATCCGTCTTATTTCGAGTATAGTAATAATGTATATGTGAACAACAGGTTTGCAATGGAGCTACCTATGTCAGTGTAGATGTTCTAAACAGCAATAAAGATCATAGTAGGATGATACTTGTTGAAGGTATGGTGGTACATGCATGTTTTTTATTCGTTTTGCAGCCGCTCAATAAATTCATCTTTTCCATCCCAATATTCATCTTTGCATCAATTTTTACCTTTATTTATTTATTGATCTGCATGCCTACAGATAATGGTGGAGGAATGACTCTTGATAAAATGCGACAATGCATGTCTCTCGGGTATTCTGCTAAAAGCAAAATGGCAAATACCATCGGTCAATGTGAGTTTTCGTTATATATATGTGGGTGGTGTGTGTTGAAAACATTATCTAACTCATCCAAGTATTATGGTTTAATCAAATATTTTTCACGTTGATTATTGGATGGCTTGAACAGATGGAAACGGCTTCAAAACAAGTAGTATGAGGCTCGGAGCAGATGTAATTGTATTCTCTCGTTGCCAGGGAAAAGATGGAAAGAGGTATTCTTCACAGTTACTACATTTGTGATTTTTTGGACCATATTTAGTCAGTAATATTTTTAACTCAAAGACTTCGATCATTAACATTTTTTTATCTTTAGCCCTACACAATGTATTGGAATGCTCTCCTATTCGTTTTTAAGGGGAACCAGAAAAGAAGATATTGTTGTTCCCATGGTATGACAATCTTTTTACTCATAAAGATCTATTTATTTCACGAGTATAATTGGCTTTACTACTGCATTGCTTGTCAGTTTCACTGTTCAAATGGAAACTATTTTGAGTGTAAAAAACCTTTTCCATGCTATAGTGGAGTTGTTATGTTATATATATGCATGTATTTATATAATTCTATTTTTTGTGAAGATTGGGTTTGAAAAGAGAGAAGATTCATGGGAAATGATGCCCCGATCTTCTGCCAGTGATTGGAAGAAGAATTTAGACACAATAGTGCAATGGTCTCCATATATAAGTGAAGCTCATCTCTTACAGCAGGTATTTTAAAATTCTATGCTCTTCTCTTCCCTACCATTCGATTTATTCTTTCATTCAACATTTATTTATTCATTTTTGCTGATTTTAACTGTTTTTACTTTGTAACTTTGTAGTTTGACTTCTTGAAGGATCAAGGGACTCGTATAGTTATATATAATCTTTGGGAGGATGATGAAGGGTCACCAGAGCTTGATTTTGACACAGATATACATGTAATATATTGTTCTCACTGATCTGCAGTCTGCACTTTTCACCCCCATCACCCATAACCACAATGCACCTTTAATATTTTGTTACCTCAAGTTTTTCAAAAGCCATGTTGTTATCTTGATTCAGGACATTCAAATAAGGGGTGTTAATAGGGATGAGAAGAAGATAGTAATGGCAAAGACTTACCCAGACTCTAAGCATTTTCTGACTTACCAACATTCTCTAAGAGTATGTTTACTACTTGTTGCACTTCTTCATGTTTGTGATTCAATGAAGTACTTATAGTATAAGAATATTTTGCCACAACATTATCATCTTCTCTTAAACAACCATTATTTTGCATTCCCATTTCTGCAGAGCTATGCGTCAATTTTGTACTTGAGGCTTCCAGAAGGATTTCGAATTATTTTACGAGGAGAGGATGTTCAGCATCATAATATTATTGATGATATGGTGCAATCCAAAGAAATTACCTATAGACCACAGTGTATTGCGAGTGATCACGCTCCCAAGGGTCCAAATGTAAGTCATTTAAAATGTTAAGGAGTACTATTCTTTTGGCATTTTAGAACATTATCATATTCCGTGCTCTAATATGATGGTGCTCAATTAGATGTATGCTGTAGTGTCTATTGGTTTTTCCAAAGATGCAAAGCATCACATTGATATGCAAGGATTCAACGTCTACCATAAGAATCGGCTTATTAAGGTTTCTTTTCCCTTCTCCTGCTTCCTTGTTTATTTCGGAATTTATGCTTGACGTTTGCCAACCAACTTTTTTAAGATTGCTGAGAGGCATGAATATATGTATGGGTTGTGTGACCATAAGTCTAACATCAACTAATGCATATGTGCCACATAGGAATCATTCACTATATTTTCCACCACTTTTATGACTTACTCTCATGTTTAAATGTCAGCCATTCTGGAGGGTTTGGAATGCTGCAGGAAGTGATGGCCGTGGTGTGATAGGTATTGTGTCTCACCCCATTAGCATTGCATTTTTTACCAATATGTGACGTGAACTATTGTGACTGATCTTTGGTTTATGCACAGGTGTCTTAGAGGCTAATTTCATAGAGCCAGCTCATGATAAACAGGGATTTGAACGCACAGTTGTTCTTGCAAGACTTGAGACCCGTTTGCAAGCCATACAAAAGGACTATTGGTGTGTATATGTATATATATTTTATATATCATCCAATATTATATATATATATGTATGTATAGATATAAATATATATATTCCTTAACATTCTCCTTTTCCACTAAATGTTCGGTCCATGATATTTACAGGTTGACAAACTGCCATCTAATTGGTTATGCTAAGAGACGCAACAAGAAAAATAACCCGGATCTTCTTAGAATCAAATCTTCCTCGACATTAGACTCGAATGGCCATTATTATCACCACCAATCTAATTTCAGAAGCAATGGGCAACATGAACTATTTGCACACCCAACTTATGAGGACAATGAAGTGGTTGTGTACCCGAACGAAACACAGAATCCTTTCCAAGGACCAATATCCAAACAAAACCAGCAACTATTCATCCCGAACATGAAACCTGTTAGAATGGCTGGATGCTTACCTTTGAGTGTATGTTCGATCTCTTCATTGATTGATTCCCTTTTCTTATGTACCATGCACAAAGCATTCATGTTACATACCAGTACTGTTTGTGAGGGTGTGGTCCGAAGCTCCGAATTCAATATGAGTTATGCCTCTTGGACATATTTCATATCCTCTTGTTTCTTTTGTGCAGGTTAGAAGTGCCACTGGAGATGTACAAGAAATACAGTGCACCCATTCAATATTGACACAAAAGATGAGAGAAGAGAACCTTGAACTCAAGAGAAGGTGAGCAACATTTTATCATCTTTAGAAGTAATCTGTACCATCTCCTTTTAATTGTTTGCTGACATGGTGTTTTTTCCCCAGTTTGGAGGCCGCTTTGACTGATTTGCAGTTTGAAAGGGACAGAAATATGATTCTAGAAAGTAAAGTAAGTGATGCTTGGTTCTTTTATGGGAAAATAGTAAGATACATTTTTTGAGTTTTTTCCCAAACTTAAGGTACTTCTAAAACTTATTTCCCAAACTAGGGTAGTTTTAAATTTATTTCCCAAACTAGGGTATTTTTTCTCCATGTCACCCAACCTACCACGTCACCTATGCCACATTATTCGCTAGTTATTCCATATCATTGATATTTGGGTAGTATAAAAAATACGTTGCTAGAACGAGTTGAACTCACAACCTCTCAACTATGTACTAGGAGTAAAACCGTTGGACTATAATGTTTAGTTGTTACTTTTGCCCATTTAATTGTATTTAACATACATATAATTGAAGTTCTTGAATTTACTAGTTTACTCGTGTTTTACTCATTCCTTTGGAAAATATATTATTTATTTCTAAAATAATCAAAGAATATAATAAAATTTTAATTTTATATTTTCAATTGAAAAATAAAACCCAATTAAAAATTATGATAAAAAGATTTATTTGAGATATGTATTAAAAAATAATTTATAATAACTTTAATAACACAACACTAAAAGTATTAAAAATATTATATTTTTAACTTAAATTTTTTTAAAAGTTTATCTAGGAAAAAGTATTTATATCATCTCAACTGAGCTCGGGCTCAACTCGAGTAAGGCTTGAGTTCGGTTCAAATTCCACAAATTAATTTTTATGTGTTCAAATTCAAAAAAGATGCCCGAATTTGAGCTAAAAAATATTTTTAAATTTTGATAAAATATATTTATACATGAAAATCAATAACAAAATAAATAAATACTTAAAGAAATAAGTTATCAATAAATAAATTAAATAAATTAATTTTATACGGAGTAATTATTTATTTATTTATATTAAATACATAAATTGTTTTCCTAGATCAACTTTAAAACGTTTTTTTAGTTAAGAATATAATATTTTTTAATAATTTTAGTGTTGAGTTATTATAAATTAGTTTTAATTACATATCACAAATTAAGTTTTTAATCATAATTTTTGATTGGGTTTTTATTTTTTAATTGAACATCTAAAATTAGAATTTTATCATATTGTTTAATTATTTGAGAAATAAATAATATATTTTGGAATGAGTAATACACGATTAAACTAGTAAATTCCAGAACTTCAATTATATGTATGTTAAATACAATTAAATGGGCAAAAGTAACAACTCAACATTGTAGTCCAATGGTTGTAGTCCTAATACAAAGTTGAGAGGGTATGAGTTCAACTCCCTCTAGCAACATATTTTTTATACTACCCAAATTCGATGATATGGAATGACTAGAGAATGATGTGGCTAGGTGACATGGCAGGTTGGGTGACATGGAGAAAAAAATACCCTAGTTTGGTAAATAAGTTTAAAAGTACCCTAGTTTGGTAAATAAGTTCTAAAAGTACCTTAGTTTGGGAAAAAACTCTACATTTTTTGGTCAAGAAAGTACAGGGGATTCGGGAAGCTAGTCCAAATGTAAAAATTTTGCCGTTCAGACCTATGTCTTTTAAATATCCACAATTTAAGTCCCGATACCACCTAAAGCTTGCAATATTTGTAAGAACATACTGTTCAAATTAAAGATTCAGAGAATCAGAGATCTGTAATAAAGTGTTCATGATCCCATTTCATATGAGATGAATATACACAGAAACTGAATTAGGTCAAATGGGGTTTAATTATTTAATGTCGCCATTGTTATGCACTGTGTTCAGATTCATACAGCCGGGAGAGTGACCGAGTTCATCGACCAGGACCATGAAACACTTTATAAATATACGGAAGGAGAAATCGCTAGAAGAGATGTAGAGGAAGAAAGACTGAGAAAAAGATTGAGGGTTGGTTTGCCACTTTCTATATATCAGTGTTATATATACTCTGTGATTTTGTTTGTGTGGTCTACGGACGGAGCAAAAGCATAAAATATTATTCCGTATATACTCCGTATAAATTTCGAACAAAAGCTTAAAATTTCAATCTATTTTTATAAATCTATCTTTATAAATTATAATTTTTTTGCCAAAAATTAGAGAAATAAATTATAATTATTTATTAGGTGTTTCCTAAATTATTACTACATACTATAGTACGTAATAAAATAAAATTTAGGGAAAATGGGCAAATAAGCTCTCGAACTATCCGAAAAAGTGCAAACCACCACTTTTATAGGAGGCTTTATTCGATCGTCGCCATTTGAGGCGGTTCCCGGTGTAATTTTATGATGAAATTTTTTGAGCATCTTCTTCATTAAGTCTTCGTTACTAATACCAAATTTCAGTTAAAAATCCAATCGTGAAGGCAGTCAAATAAATATTTGAAGATAACTGCGCAGTTAAACAACGCATTATATTTCATAAAATCATTTGACTACATTGCCGGTTGAATTTTTACCTGAAATTTGGTAAGAGTAAACTAGATTTAATGAAGAAGATGTTCAAAAAAAGTCATCAAAAAAATTGCACCGGTAACCGTCTCAAATGACACGACGGCCAGACAGAGTCTCTTATAAAAGGGGTGATTTACACTTTTTCCGACAGAGTCTCTTATAAAAGGGGTGATTTACACTTTTTCCGATAGTTTGAGAGCTTATTTGCACCTTTGTCCTAAAAATTCGCCCATATGATGATGAACTTTGTTGGTTTCGTTTGGGGTTGTGTGACGTATTTACTATTAATAATAATCCTTGTTTTGTGGCTAGGATGCTTCGGAGACCATACAAGAGTTGCTCGACAAAGTGAAGATGCTCGAAAGTAAGTCTGTAGTATGTATCAAGAGTGAGACTACTCACTGAAGATTCATAATCAACGGGGAACTTAATTTATCCGTCATTAATAGTTTAATTAATCTAGTCTATAGATAGATATAGCCAGCCTCGAGAAGTAGTTTAAATACTAACTAAGATGTTTTTATATCAATGTTTTAATTAATGTGTGTTGTATATATATGTTGCCGTGTTGGTGATTTGGTGGGGATGAAAGCCCGTCTCTTGAACTATTTTTTTCTCATTCAAACCATATCATGTAATCATGTATGTAGTTGATATTGAATATTGAATTTGCAAAGTATGAATGTGTCTCAAACAAATAAACACCCCTAAAATAAATAGGGAAAGTTCACGAAATAAGATTAAAACAATTTCAAAATTCCAAAATAGGACTGTCATGTTTTTTATTCCTAATATAAGACTAATTACTGCCATTTTTAGAAAATACTGACATGTTTGAAGTCTGGTATTGCCAAAACATGACAGTAATTAGTCATATTTTGGGAATAAAAACATGACAGTTCTATTTTGGAATTTTCAAACCGTTTTAGTTCTATTTCGGGTAATATCTCAAATAAATATGAAGAAATAAATTGAGACGAAAACTTTTCTAGAAGTTCACTTTAGGCCTTTAGATTAACCTTAGCTTTGTCTTTACAAGAAGATGGTTGTACACACATGCATATGAATATATGATCTATCCCATCTTATTACACTAGGGCCTGTTTGGTGACAGCTGCACTGGCTGGAATGGCTGAAAAGCCTGAAAAGACTTAAATTGCTGAAGTGAAAGTGTTTGGTATTATATTGGCTGAAATGGCTGATTGTGTATAAAATTACTATAAAGGGTATTAGCTTATTTGTGATAAATATATGGGTCTTAAGTTTACTAATAAACTAGTTTTGTTTGATTAGGCAATTATAAGACTACTTAAATAATTGATTAGTTTGGAGATTTCATTCTTACTCTTACTTCGAATTTTAAATTATTTTAAACAACTACTTTCCGATAAATCTATTAACTAAGATGACATAAATAATTTCATAAGGAATTCAATTGGGTTAACGATTATAAAAGATATAATAAGTACTTTTAATGAACCGATTTATAAGAGAATTTATAAATCGGTTAAGAAGAGAATGTTTAAAGAATTTATAAGGAATAAGAATTAATAACTACTTCCCGATAAATCTATTTACTAAAAGAATTAAACAACTACTATTCGTTAACCATTTTCATAAGGAATGTTTAATTTCATAAATCTATTTTAAACAACTACTATCTGAAGGAGAATTAGGGAAGAAGTATATGTACGTAAAAAGCAGGGGATAGCTATGTCTTTTTAATGGTTAACGGTATTATAATAGAAATCAGCCCAAAAAGTAAGGGTTAGGCTACTTTTTTGGCTGATAAGTAATATCAGCCCTAACAACCCAAATGGCTAGTGTTTGGCTCTTTTTTCTATTTTAAGGCTTATCAGCCCATTTTATAGGCTCCAAACGGCCCATAGTTGTTTGCATTTGAAGAATTCAATTTGGAATTCTCATTTCAATCACTAGCGGAACCTCTCACGATTTTCGGGTGGGTGCTTGAAAACCCATTATTAGTCCAGTGAAGTGGATATGATGTGATATTAACAATATGTATAAATAAACTCCCTTAGAAGGAAAAGATGATGCAAGAAACGAAACAATATAGCCAACACTACTACTAATATTAAAAGTGGTGAATAATTAAAGCTAAAGGCCTCCAACTGCCAAATGAAACTATGGGAGTGTTTGTCAATAGGTTGTTGGCTGTTAGTTGATAGCACTTTCTGTTGGCTGATAGACGATAGTTGATTTAATTGGCTGTTTTAGTCAGCTGATAGTATTAGCGGTTTGTAAAATGATGTTTGGTTAAATGACTGATTAAAGTCAGTTGAAAATTTATAAAATGACCTTTAAGGGCATATTTTTTGTGTTGGTTGCGTAGCGTGTTGCACTTTTTTAATACTTCTTCCGTTCTTAAATAAGTGCAACAGTCAAAATTTTACACTTGCCGAGATACAACTTTGACCATTAATATATATAATTCTCTATTAGTAAAAAAATTAAAAAAAATTAGTTTTTGAAAATTTACAATGAGACAAATTTAATAATATATTTTTTCAAAAATATATATTTATATATCAATAAATAAAATGTAGTCAAAGTAGAAAATGTGAATAGTGTAAAATTTCACATGTTGCACTTATTTAAGAACGGAGGTAGTATGATACAAAATTATAAATATTAGAAATATTTAAATTATAATTTTACCTAGTATTGTCATTGATGTTATTATTATGTACGATTACTTAGACCATTATTATTTACTACTTATTAAAAAATAAAAATGATAATTGCAAACAACAATTCTTTTAAAGTTTTCACGTTTTTCTAAATTTATTAATAAATTGTCATAACTTAAGTTTGTCATAACTTAAGTTATGTTAAGAATTGTTGTCTAGCAAAAAAGAATCGTATTTAACTTCAATCTGCTAGTTACCTAAGGATGTTTTTACTTGGACTGTAATTTGCTGGTCTAGTCTGGTCTGGTCTGGTCTGGTCTGGTCTGAACTGGTCTGGTCTGGTCTGGTATGGTCTGATTTCTTTGTATTTTTATAACTATCCAAGTCTGGTCTGGTCTGGTTTCTTTGTATTTTTATAATTATCCAAGTCTGGTCTGGTCTGATCTGGTCTGGTCTGGTCTGGTCTGGGACGAATTACAGTCCAAGTAAAAACATCCTAATAGCCTAGTACGTACATAAGAAAATCCAGGAGCAAGAAATACAGGTCTAGGGAGTATTTTAGGGGAGAAAAATAAATGGGTAGATTAGGAATATTGGGGAAAGGCCAAACGTAAAAGCTATGTTTCTTAGCTTTTTCAATTTTAGCTGTTTGGGACAAAAAGCCAAATGAAAAGGTCATTTAACCAAACACACTTTTAGCTCATTAATTTAGTAAAAAAGCCAACTACTGATCAAAACAGCCAAAAATTGGCTGATCAGGCACTAACCAAACACCCCCTATATAGCCAACGCGTTTTTGGCACGCATAATTGGCATGGAAACCAACTGTGCCAAACTTGGAATGACGATAGGCACGGACAGTGTCCAAATAAGACGGCATGCAAGTCTGCAAAAATATATTGGCACGGAACTTGCGTCCCAAATTTTGTCACAATGTCTTCTGTGCCAATATTTGGCCAATATAAACGTCATTTACATCATGTTAAACGAATTTCGTCCCGTTTGACGTTGGCACCACACGTCCCCCGACACGTCTATGCAACAAAATATCATCCAAAATTATAATGACGTCTTCAGCGTCCCTATTCCGTGCCAAAATATTATCGTTAGTTGATTTTTGCGAATGTCATGCCTACGTCCGTGCTATATTAATTATAATCGTTGGGTTGTCATGCCAAACGCCGTGCCAAAATATTACCGTTGGCGGTTTCCGTGCCAATTGCCGGTCTGTCGTGCCAACACCGTGCCAACGTTGTGTTTATCCTCTTGGAACCTGCCTGCGGTACCAAATATATAGCCATCGGAAAATGGACTTGACATGTATGCCAAAATCCGTGACTATATCCGTTCCAAATTTATCTATAAATACATATCTTAATTGTTTTCATTTTTTCACTCGCACCCAACCTTTCTTTCATCACAAATATTGATTAATATAGAATGAAGAATATGGATTTGAAAATAGATGTTGATTATGCTATATGCGGAAGTTGATGTGACATTCATACATTGAAATTTCTGAAAGAATTTATATTCTTTATCTGCTATTAGGTATGTTCCTCTCCTTATATAGTTTTTAATTTGATTAAAGTTTTATTCTTTAATTAGGTTAATGTAAATCGTATATAAATTGTATCACATAATTATATTATATAGTAACATGCATTAGAATAACGTTAAAAAACTAAATTTAAATAGTAGTATATAGTACAACATTAAAATAATTCAAATACACTAATTTTAAATAGTAGAAGTAAACAACAAAAATAGTATTGATATTATTGCATGTGATATTTACGTGAATTACTTGTTTATTAAATTTTGAAATGTGTAGTTTTCATGAATGGTTAGGTGTAGTGATGTATTTACATTATAAACTAAATACATCGACTTAATTAAGATAGCATTATCTATGTCATCCATGCACAATGTATAGATAAATAAGAGATTGGATGTACAATAGATATGTTGAGAATGGTAGAAGGCTAACTCAAGAGTTTATTAAGGGTGTTGATGAATTTATTAATTTTTCTCGTGCACAAACATGATTCATAGATGGAGAAAAGTTACGTTATCCATGCGTTAAGTGCAAAAATAATAAATTTCTGAAGTGTGATGCATCTTGGCATCTATATACGAAAGGTTTTATTTGGAATTATCACAATTGGACTTCTCAAGGCGAGTCGTTTGATCCATCCCTTGGGATGGGTGACTCCCCTGGCAAGTTTCTCAGGACGCGCATGAGTGAGGACAAAGTGCGCGGTAAAGACTCGTGGTGGTTTGTGAGGACAATACTAGAGCTACAAAGAGTGGTCTGGAGTAACAACCTCGGGTCCTGCAGGGCCAGGGTGTTACAGGTGGTATCAGAGCAACCCTGCAACAGTGTGATGATCTGTTGGATATCGGGTGGACATTTAGCAGGGGAAGATTCTGTGATATGATTGATGTTGAATTGGCTTATGAGCGCAACGAGGACATTGCGATCCTAAGTGAGGGTTATTGTAATACTCGAGATTAATTTAAAAGGATTAATAGTACTACTCATACTAACAAAGATGTATCTCCTTTTAAGTGTGCTCATCACCTAGGAACTCCAAAGTTAAGCGTGCTTGAATGGAAGTAGTCTTGGGATGGGTGACCCCTTGGTAAGTTTCTCAGGGCGCGCATGAGTGAGGATAAAGTGCGCGGTAAAGGCTCGTGGTGGTTTGTGAGGACAGTACTAGAGGTCCAAAGAGTGGTCTGGAGTAACAACCTCGAGTCCTGCGGGGTCGGGGTGTTACAATGGCCCACTTGGGTGATTATGATCAAATGGCTTGGGAGCATCAAATGGTGTATGATCTTGTAGGAGCTTCAACTTTGCACAATATCATGACAATGAAGCGGGTGCGAGTTCGAGTGCCTTTTTTAAGGATGAATTGAGCGACAAATTTCAGGATGTTCTAAAAAG